CACGTTTTGGCTGATTGGCCCTGCCATTCCTGTTGAAACCACTTGCCAGAGTTAGGGCTATATTATTGTATGTGTAGGGATGAGGTAGAGGTGACTTTGATATATTGCAGTTAAGCCTGCAATTTTCTTGTAAATAACTGATTTGTGAATGTTTTCGTGGCTATATGTGCGATCTGCAGCAAATAATACGCAGTTTGACCCCCCAAACCAGTGCATCTGTTTACGCGAGTGCGTCTCCAAATAGTTCCTGGGTGCTCGTCGGAGACATCTCCGAATAGTGTCTGCCGTATGTTATAGTATGCGGGTGTAAAGGGGGGGGGGTAGAGTTGAAGAGGTGTATGTTATAGTGTGCGTGTGTAAGGGGGGGGGGCGTAGAGGTGTGGAGGTGTATGTTATTGCGCGCGCGTGTGTGTACAGGGTGGGGGGTAGAGGAGTGGAGGTGTATAATATTATAGTGCAAAGTGCGTAGAGCATGCCTTTGAGCGAGGGTATGCGCTCTTGAAATGGTATTTATCACATTATTTATTATTACCATGCGTGTGTGGACAAGGACAGTGGGTGGTTGGCGGGTGGTCTGGTGTGGTTTGATTCTTCCTTCCTATCAAACATCTATCGTCCTTTAACTCCCCTTTTTCTTTGTTATGTTTGTTACTCTCTTGTAACACCTCTAATCTTCTGGCTCTCATATGACCTTATGCAGTTTCGAGGGCCATAAAAACCTCTACTAAAACTAAAAGGACAAGGACAAAAGGACAAGAGTTTGTGGTCACCTCAGACAAGCAGTTCGGGTGGCAGTGGCCGGTGGACAGGAAGCTCGGGTTGTTCGGGGGCACGATCTGATAGGGGTCTACGTTGACGCCGACCTCCAGGACACCCGCGTCATGAGTGCGGAGCTGTTGCGTCAGGAAAATACGGATTCCGGAGTTATCCACAAAGTCTGAGGAAACGAATTACAGTAAAAGTAAACCCGACATCATCACCATCCAGTGCCAGATCTGCGATAGATATTGGCGATCATGGTTCTCCGTTCATTCCTTTGCTCAGATGCTTTGAAAAAAAAATAGCAACGTTTCCATTACCTTTCCCTGTTACCCATTTGTTCAGGTTCCCTAAGTATGTTGTTCTGGGCCTACCCCTGCCTCGTTTGCACTCAATTTTGCCGACAACCCCCACAGAAAACCCGCTATCTATCTATCTATCTATCTATCTATCTATCTATCTATCTATCTATCTATCTATCTATCTATCTATCTATCTATCTATCTGTCTATCTGTCTGTCT